CGGAGCACCCCTTTCACCTGGAAATGGTTGCTGAGCAATCTTAATGGGTTCTGATTTTTAAAATCAAACAATTTTATTGTCGCCATCGACGATGTGGCTGTTGTTGCTTTATGCTTGCCATTGCTATGTGGTTAAGGCCTTGTGTGAAGTTTTATTTATTTATTTTTTTGTATTTGAGGGAACTGCTTGGCTTTCGGACTTTCGTTCGCCGGCTAATACCTTGCCCAAATATTTACTATTACTTTACATAAAACGCAGCCGTCGTTTTGTCACCACCAAATTCGAGCTGATGTGAAAAAATAGTTAAAAAGGTCGGCCATACTTGCTAAATTCCTCAAGCTTTCAGGAAAGATTACCCAAAAATAGTGACAAACTAAAGGTTTAACTTTAGGCTAATATTTACTTATTGAAATTAAATTAATGAATAGTATTAAACACCCTCTTAACAATCCTAATGGTTTGTTAGAATTTATGAAAGGCTAATTTCTGTGCCCTTTGATCTTAATGGCAAATAATGTATATTGTTTCAGTGGTTTAAGCTAAGTAAGCACACATAAATATTGGCATAAAAACTTGTAGATACTCAAAATAGTCTTCTCTGTTTGTAGAGGCAGCTAGATAACTACAAAAATAGTAAATGTGCTGGCAGTTGCATGATGGTTATCTTCTGAGCACCAACCCAGTGGGGCGCACTTTCAATTAATTTACTTGTAATTGTCGCTTGACGAGCACTTTGTCGGCACTTGAACGCAACGCCCACTCGACAAACAGGCAAACATGGGGACAAACATGGAGACAAACAAACAAACAAACAACCGGCAAGCTGTCATAACGATAAACTGACAAACCGAGGAGAAATGCACTTTTGGTGTTCACTCTCGATCTTGGACATGTCATCGAAAAATTAAAGCTAAGACCGACCTTCTCGTGTGGATTTTTCTTTATTTATTTGATCTATTTGCCCCCCAAATACCACTCCCCTTCGACGTACTTTATTTCACGTGGCACCTTTGCGTTCCACGGTGCGTATGTGTGCTTTACCTATCGCCAACCGATAAGGAACAAATATTCGTAGTCAAGCATAGTCAAAACGCTTGCCATCACCACTTGAAAAATGGAAAATGCAAAAGAATGGAAAAGAAATTATTGGAATTTAGCATAAAGTTTAGGCAGTGCAAGAAAAGGCTACAGCAAAAGGTTATACTTATATTTTCTGGTAATGAGAAAAATCATAAATAAATGTAGAACACTACTGAAAAACTTTCAACTTAAAATTTGAAAATCCAGTCTCATGTAGACTATTACTCCATAGAAATTTAACAATTATCGCCTCTCATTTGTAATAAGACAAACGTGTGTAGACGCAGAGCAATTAATGTCTCTTAATATGAGATAATCTGGGTATAATCAGGATATGTACTTCCCATATCGTAGGCCCAGAAAATAAACTTCCCTTTCCAGAGTGGTTTTCCTCTGGCTTTTATCCCGTTCGATGTGATCTTCAGTACTTTGTTATTGTTTCCGAGCATTATGTAAATACACCCAAACAGTACAGTATGCGTAGCTTTTGATGCTCTTTATTGCCGCTTGATGTGGCTGCCGTTGGAATCTCTTTTGATTTCTGTATTTCTGTATAGTTTCCAGACGCTTTGATCTGTTTTACGTGCTTCCGATTCATTTTGTTGGAGGCAGGGGAAGGGGTGCTTTCGTTTTTATTGCCACTTGAGGCTTGGCCGGGTTTTGTTCATTGTCTTCTTTCGTCTAAACAACAGAGAAGAAATGAAAGAAAACCGAGAAAACCATGAAAACCCAGTCCCAGATCAGACAATGCATTTTATTTTCTTCTTTTTTCAGCGCCACGATAAAACAAAGTAGGCGGCAACGCGCTCGGCAAACGCCCCACAAAAAAAAATGAAAAATAAAACCCAAAGCCAAAGCCATAGAAAGAGGGAATATCCAAAACTGCAGCCAGATAAAAAGTCTATGGTCAGTTGCTCATGTCGCCTGTCAGTGTTGCCGGAAATAGTGCATCAAAATAGTAACGGAAAATCGCCTTAATTTATATGCAATTCTAAATAACATACTTTGTATATACATATATCAGCTTAAAATTTGTACATATTTGTTGACTACAAGTGCATAATGATTACAAAACAACATTTTCTAACGCTTAAGTTTAACAATTGAAAATATGGAACTTCGTTTTGCCATTTTTAGCTAGTTTGTCATCTATCAAATACAATTCTTGTATATGTAAGTTATTATACTTTAAAGTCTGTAACTTAAAAGGATGTTATGAACTTGAAAAGAAAGAACCTAAAATGGTTTTGATTTGAAATAAGAGTTTAAAACTTAAAAAATACTTAGTACCACTAAAATTTCCGGATTGGTCAGAAAAATAGCTGAGCCTGTCATCTCCGATGTCTGCACTTAGCATCGACATCGAAAACAACAACAAAGCGGCAGCACCGCGTCATCGACATCGACATTTGCCTTTTTTCCATCCAAAAGCGGGCATGGGCATGAAATGCAAGATACGCTCAAAGGAAACCGAAGTCCAAACGAAAGGTGTTAATGGACTCGACTGTGCACACACAGATACACCGAAACCCAGATACACACAAGCACAGCTTCCATCTAAACTAAGCCCAAAAACTCCAAGACGAAACTAATGCGTTTGTTGCACCCAGAGAAATTTGGATGCTAAGGGTCAGTTCAGTAGTTTTAATATATTAATTATAAATTTTTGAGATTTAAATAACTCGATTTATTGTGAAGGCCATATTTTTCTGAATAGTTTATACCTATGTATATTTGATATTTATTAATTTAAAACATTTTCGATGTAGATTTATTTTGAGGACAATGTATTCCTGAATTATTTATGTAACGAATATTTTGGTTTTAGATATTAAAATAAATTTAAGTCATTTTTTTCTCAGTGTATTTCATTCCCAGCGGCAGCTCTTTCTTCTCGCCCATTTGTTCCTTTCTCTCTTTGTCGCCGGTCCAATCGCACAGGTCTCCCTGGCTAACTAACATCTTTTTGTGGTTTTTTTTTCGAGATTTCCACTAAATGGCCTTCCTATTCTTCCGACTTTTCCCTCGGCGGCTCTTTTCACGCACTCTGCGACTACTCAGCGATTTTCATGGGCCATTTTCACGGTAAATTAAGGGCCGAGATGACCTCAAATGTTTAAGCCGCATCGTATTTGGTCATGCAATAAATGAGAATATTTCAGAACTAAATGACGCCTTTCTCTTAGTCCTAAGATTTGTTTATGAATGATATTTTACGATTTTGCTTGTGTATAAAACAAATTAAAAATTTGGCTTATTTGAGTTCCTTGGTTTAATTTTTGATATGTTTATTTCATGCAATAACTGAGGATATTTTAGAACTAAGTAAAGCCTTTCTCTTAGTTTCAATATTTATTTATCAATGCTATTTTATAATTTTTCCCTTATATAAAATTATATTATTTAAGTTATTTCAACTCAATTTTTATGTGTGTATTTTTATTTATTTTGCTTTTATTTATTCATTACATATTCTTAAGCAACATAGTAAACTTCTTCATTAATTGAAAAGCAATTAAATGTCGCTTCTTTGACGTCTTTCGGGTGATAACAGTGCGTTTGTGTTTGTCTACCAGTCTTGTTTCCACCTTTATCTAGATATATGTAGCTCTCAAGTCGGGGAACCTTCTCCTTCTATACGACTTGTTTCCCAGAGCGTTGCTAATGGAAATGAAACCCCCGATAAATACTGAAAAAAAAAAAATCAAAGCAGCGGGAGGCACACCAAAATGGGAAACGAGTGTTCCGATAGCGAACCGAAAACGGAAAAGTATTCAAACTTATGAATGCAAACTATATTTCATAAATTAATTTCCATAATGCTCTGATTTCGAAAGCGACGAAAGTAACCCGAATAAGATTATGGGTTGTTAAATATTGAAAAAATAAAAAATCAAAATGAAATGATAAAATTTAAAGGAAAAATCCTTAAACACAGTTTTATTTGTCTTGAATAAGCTTTCTTTCTATTTTCGCTAAATTAAATCATAATTAGCAACTTGAAATACGTTTATTTATCTAAACAGATCATTGCCTGCCTTTCTTAATATATTTATTTATTATTTAGTCATGGCTTTGTGTTTATCTTCTCCGCAGTGACCGCAAAAAAATAAAAAGCCAAAGCAAATAGTAGATTCGTGTGGGTTGAATGGGGCGGAAGAGCCCCACTTTGATGAGCTGCCGCCCTTCGAAAATCCCTTTCCCACTCCCCACTCCCCCCCCCAACCAAAAAAAAAAAAAAACACAGCCCCACGTTCTCGGCATTCACAATTTTGAACATTTCCCAAGAGTTTGTGACTTCTCAACAACATTTAGCTGGCTGCTGCTTGTTGCTTTTGTTTTCATCTGCTGTGTTTGTTGGCTGTACTCTTTTTAGTGTGTATTTTAATTTTTTTAGAAAAGTTTACCATGACAAATATTTTAAGTCTTTTAGTGATTACTTATCAGCTTAAATAATATTGCAAATTTTTATATTGGGTTCCCCATTTGTAAACGTATTTTCAGGAAACATCATGGTAAGTATTTAGCATTTGGTTTAACTTTAAATAAAGAAAAAAAAGGAAAAATGTAAACATATTTTTAAAATGCATCGGTCATATATTTTATTTCACAACAATTGAATTTTTAAATGCTCCCTAATAGCTAACTTATTTCCTTAAAACCCAGTGTATTCTAAACTCAGTTATCGGGCCGGCTTTTCCCCTTTATGTTTGTTTCCATTTTTAGTCTCTGTTGCATTTTTTTAAATTTTGTTTTTCGCACGTAAGCGAAGAGAATTAATTTTATGGGCCACAGCCACACACAAAAGCCGGGCTTATCAACAACGTGGAATCGCGGAGAACCGGGGACGACATGCCTGCTATTTGGCCAACAGCTTTTTGAGCGAATGCACAGATATATGGTATAGTTATGGCTTTTACCTGGAGCTCAGCCTCCAGCTGATTGGTGTGACCCGCCAGGTTGGGCAATGCGGTCATGTTGTAGCCAAGACCTTGGCAGGCGGAAACGGTAATCCGCTGGCACTGTAATCCATTCGAGCCGCCTGCCACGGGGCCGGGATTGCTGATTGCCGAGGAGGTCCTGCTGGTGCTGGCCAGGGCCAAAGCCAGGAGCAGAACCTGGCTGGCGTTCATTTTTTTCATTGGGCCCTAGAATCACTCAGGGGTCATCATGTTTGACACTCCGGCGGGGGTTCGGTTTCTGTTCAAATACCACTCGCGAGCACGTGAAAAAAATGGATTTGAATTGTTCTTCGGTTATTTCGACCTCTGGTAAATTACGTATTTTTCTGTTTTCCAAAGAACTCGCGCAGGGAACTGTGAAACATTACCGCTCGTTTCTGGTCTTTCGAACAAACTACCAACTCTCGGTCGTCAGACGTTGGGTTTTGTCCACGCGAAGCGCCTCGAACTTGTTCGATTGCTTACTTGCAACATGTTGCAATGAACAAATATATATATCCGTTGGATATCCAGTGCCTAATGAAGACAAATAAATTTACCGTTTTTATACCCATCGCGTCGGAAGGGAAATTAAACTCCCTAATGAACATTTGGTGGCGGAAGAGGATGATATATGGCTATAGCCTAGGACTTGGGCTTTCATACAGAAGAGAGATATACAACACATAAAAGGAAAATACTTCTAGGGTATGGATTGCGATATATGGTTTAAGGTTTCCAATATTTAGATTTAAAGACTAGAAATCATATCATATAAAAAGTTCTTAAATTATCCATTATTTTCAAATTAAAATCAAAATTACTGCAAACAGCTTAGGAATTTCCAAAAATGCTTAACTTGCCATAGTAACTTGCCCCAATCAAATTAGTTTAAGCTCTGCAAATAAATTCTTTTATAAAGGCTAAATTAAACAACCTTCTTTTGTAGACCACCGACCATGATTTCAAGGGTCCACCCGATCGACAACCCCACATCAAGTTTTATCCGGACCGGGATAAGTGATGGAGATCGAAGCAGTTCCCCCGAGATGAATCAGTGGCCGGCAGGTGAGTTAAGTTCCCCGTGGGTGACTGCCATCCAACTTAGAGCGTCGATCGGTTCGACACACACCGCATGTGCACAGAAAAAAAAATACTCATTTAAAGTGGAATTAAACCAAATTAGTGTATGCGTATCCCATTGGAATTGTAAATGTACTTAACTTATAACTGGAAAATTGGGCAACGTTAAAATTATGTGAAATGCGAATTATTTACAAATTCAATAATAATTTAATTAATATATTACAAAAAAAATGTAAGATATTTTTTCTTAATTAAAAATATTATTAAAAAAATAAAGCAACAAAATTAAAAACTTGAATCCGATAAGCAATTTAATTTTTAAAATTTAATACTTAAAACTGCATTTAAATAACAATGAATAACGATCAAATGTTTTAAAAGGTGTATGAGAATATTAAGACTGTTGTCCCAGCTGTCCTTTTCTCTAAGTGTAAAGGTGAGGAAACTCGATCGGCAACGTCGACCAACCGCAACAGCAACATCAACATCAAACAGAACTGAAAGGGGGTGGTTGGAAGGAGGATGAGGTGCATGCAATTGAACACCGCGACCTCCACACACTGCAAATGTCGGCGTCGGCGATCTTTGATGTGTGCTTTGATTTCCGGCAGCCAGATAAGATTTTTGCCTCTCCTCTGGGCCTCCCCCTTGAGCCCCTCCCCTCTGACCTGCCCCCTTTTATCCCTCTTTCACCGCTTTTCCTGGGTGCCGCAAAGAAAATCGCTGATCAAAACGAATTGCTGCAAATTTTGTTATGGATCTTGAATCTCCGGTGTTTGGGTGTTTGAAGGTGGAGCCAAGGGGAAATCTATGGCATTAAATCGGATGGCCAACCACCTGTTCTATCTCAATGGTATACGGTCATACGATGTTGTCTAATAATTAAAATAGGAAAAATATATAATTTCATTTATCGAATTGTGCAAATAAAAAGGCACTTGTTTAGTTCTAAAAATATTCTTTTAATTTCATCCTTTTTTCATTTGCTTTTTTTTTTAACAAAAATTTAAGTAAATTCAGCTTTCTCACACAATCATGTAACTTGATATGTAAAAATTTAGATGGTACTCTGAAACCAATATGGCTGCATTTTTATCGCTGTGTATTATTTTATTTAAATGCTCACCTCGCACTTTCATAATACCCAATAATAATTAAAATCCTCCAACCACTTGGCGATCTCAGATCTCTCAATTGTCATCTCAGCTAATCCCCCATGTAAGTACTACCCGAAAACGAGGGAAAGAGACGGCCAATTCCTATAGAGGATGATGGAAAGAAAGAGATGGGAAGGAAGGGGCAGGCCGCTTTGTTTGTTTGTTTTATTTTTGTGTGCTGTGTTGATTCTCGAAATCCGCCAGTTGTTTGAACTTGGATGCGATGCGCACGTACAAATATCATCAAAGAGATCGATCTGAAAATGGAACTGGATGGCGTATAATAGCTAATGTAAGCACTCGCTCTTGGCCTTCCATCCTCTCCTCCCCTCCCCTTACCTCAATTGATCCTGCCTCTTTTGTTTAAACAATATTGCGCTCACTTTCGGGCTTAGTTTTTTTTTTTTTGTTAGGTGCTCAAGAGTGTTTCTGTTAAGTGCCCCGATCGCAGCACACCCCTCTCTTTCTTGCGCCCTTATTGTTGTCTAGCTCACACTTAAGGGTGGATGGGGATCACTTGGGATCGTAGGAGATTATTCCAATTGTGGTAATGTTCAGAGCCTTTTGTTAGCGGGGGATGTCGTTATCCATGAAGATCTCTTGGGCCGGATATAGGAAACAATCCTCAACGGCAGTCAAAGGTGGTGATCATCAGCTAATAGGTCCTCAAGCTTAAGCAAAAAAGCCAGGCTTTAACCATTAAATCTAATATTTTTTATTTCCTTTGAAATTAATTTCCTTCACGATATTAATTTGCAAAATATATATAATTTGCCTGGCTTAGTGACTGGTTTTTATATCCTGCAATTCAGGTGACACTTTGAATCATTTTCCCGACTTCAAAGCGGTGCCGCTCAAAGAGGATTTGCTCAGCCATAAAGCGCTGTCAACATGGAAAACGATCATATTTTCCACGCCGTCTCTTTTCTGCCATTTTCCATCTGCCATTTACAATTTTCCATTTGGTTTTCCCAGCGATCGGTTGACTTTGATTTGTTTGCGCTTTTTTCCGATGTTTGACAAAGGTACAGGGGGTATGAATGGTACATATATATATAAAATGTGTGCGATCCGGTGGTCGGGATGTCCGACATGAGTCACCACCCACAACCGCAATCCCACAGATACGCGAATTTCCAAATATCTACAACTCTTTCGGTCTTCGCCAGTGTGCCATTAACTAGTTTTCTGGTCGGCCGAGTTCAAAAGCGCTTATTAATCTCTAGTACTTGTGTTTAGTACTTTTAAATACGTTTTGAGTACTTTATTCAGTATGCTTGATGTTTTGCCGCCGCTCCAAGTCACGATATTTGCTCTGCCTCTGCTTTTCCCCCTGTTTGCTTCTCCTTTCTGTTGTTCGCTGTTTGCTTTTGCATTTTGCTTTTTGCTCTTGCGAATTGGACGCGCGTCAATATTTATTTTATTTATCTTCTCGGTCGCCCAGCTCACGGATATTCAAGGTAGGAAAAATGGGATGGAAATTCAGGGGGGGTACAGATACAGAGAGAAAAAATGGATAAAGAAATCTCACTTGACGATTCATTTATATTTAATAAAATATAAAGTAAAAAAACGTTTATTTGTGTACTTTTTTCATAAAAGCTGGCCTACAAGGTGTATACAAATCAAAGAGAAGAAACTTATGAATGATATTGCTCAAATAATTATAATAAAGTAAACTTTTTGTCATTGCTTATACCTAATTCACATTTGTATGCACTGGCTTTTCTCCGTGGAGGAAAGCACAGGGAAAAGGGGGCGGCTGGCGGGTCAGTGGATTTGTACGCCCTCGAAACTGGCGCCCGCCTGCAATTCAATCCGCCCGACGAAGACTCCCAGCGGGACTTCTCTTGGCTAACTCTTTTTCTTTTCTCTTATTTTCCCCGCCTTTTATTTGCTTCTCTGGCAGAAGCCATAGGAATAATGCGATAATTACAATGCCAAGAATCATTCGTTGGGGACACCGTGTGAATTACCGCGGCTCAGACTAAAGGAATCTAAAGTTACTCCAAAATCGAAGGAAAAAGGGGACAAAAAGAGAGAGAATCCATAAGAGAGGCATGCACTGCCTAACAAAGAGTTACATGGGATTATCCTGCTTCTTCAGTTTCACCTGCCACATAAATCTCCCATTTGAAAGTGAGGTTGTTGCCGGTGCAAATGGCACCCAACAACTGCGTATTTCATACAACTTTCTAAAACTAACGTCTCTACAACAATATAGAATCAATTAAAGCTCAGTACTGCGCGGCTGTTCGTTAGGGTAATTAAAGGGGCTATAAGCCCGGATTCATCCATGGGAAACCAATACGCATTCGAGGAAAAAAGCGGCCTGGCGCTAACTCAGGTAAGAGGCGAACCCAAGCAACAATAAACTTCAGTCAGACAATAAAACCCTATATAAACTCCAAAATGCGAAATGCGAAATGCGAAAAAAGGGTAAATAAAAATGATAAAGGCTGGCGAACCACTCATCAGCATATGATTTCCTTTGTAGACATTCGTCTATACGAAATATGTGGAATATATGTTATATGCGGAATGTTCGGAGGGAAGGGTGCGCCAAAAATAATTTGCCATATCCTGGCGGAAGGAGACGGAAAGAGAAGGCAATAGGCTGCCAGAAAGGGACGGGGTGAGCGATAAGGCGGCATCGGCGAAAGATGAAAGCCGCGCTGGGGTGCTAATAAAGTTGCCCGCCAAGAAATAAAGAACTTCAGCAGGGGCAAAGGCTCGCCCCTCCTTCGATTTTCTCCGGCCCTGTGTAGGTGCTAATTTAGCGACCCCTCAAAGATACACAGGGTCCCCCAGAATTTCCATTTTCAACAGAAATGAACTCCAGATAAGGGACTAAATGTCAAAATTATCAACTCACTCGGTGCCCATATTAACCCATGTTCCGTATATTGTCTTGAAATAACCCAAAATACAATTCGGAAAATATTTTTTAATAATAAACTTAAAAAATACTAATATATATTATCAGTGTAGTATCAGTATTTCCCCTAACACCATCTTGACAAACGTTATACTTCTTGCGTATAAAAATATTAAATATCCCAATAAAATACTTAAGAGTGCTCACAAATTTGTGCATTATTTGTTCAATGCCCTGTTAAGTCCCCATAATTTAAAACCCTGTTAACCCATAAATTAACT